TTTTGCACCCCTCCCCTCAAACTTTCGATTTGCACCCCCCCCCTCAAACTTTCGATTTGCACCTCTTAAAAGACTATTTAACACTCGAATTAATCACTTAATTAAGTGGAATTATCATTTTTCTCTATATATTTTGCTATTTTTTGCCTTGGTGTCCTCCCCCCCCCCCCTAATGGTGTCACCCGGTGCGGTCCGCTCCCCCCCCCCTCGCTACGCCACTGGTCCAAATAATACAACGGGTGACGCAAAAAAGTAACAAACGGTATAAAGATACTAGTTTCAGCACTAATGTGTTAGATTCTATACATAAATTGGGCTCTGTATAACATTGTTAGTCGGAAAACATTTAGTTCTAAAAAATTTGTTTTAGTTGTCGAGTTAAATATGCCATCCACTCGTTCTAAACGTTGTCAAATTAAATAGCAGAGTTTCTTCCAGGCATCTCTACGCCCCCCCCCCCCCCCCCCGAACGAAATGGAATTTATTCAGAAAATATATACTTTTAACCGTCCCCCCATCCCCCCCCCCCTCCCGAAAATTTCAAGCCGCCCCCCCCCCCCGGAGAAAAAAGTCTGGGAAGAAACACTGCTTGATAGAAAAGCCAGGTGATAGCCATAATAGGTCACAAAAACCACGAAGAACTTCTGGCTTTAAAGTGTGAGGCTCTACCAATGGATGTAGGTTTATTCTACTAATTTCAATGCAGGGTGTCTTTATTTTATAAAACTGAAAGATTTCACCAATCTTTGCCAACAATAATTTAATTTTTAAAATAGTTATATGGCCATTGATGATGTTTTTCTCCTGCGAACCGTTCAGTCAACTCCCAACTTATATCCTTTCTTCATCTTGACCAGATGCGTAGTAGCGAGGGGGGGGGGGGCGGACCGCACCGGGTGACACCATTTAGGGGGGGGGGTGACACCAAGGCAAAAAATAGCAAAATATATAGAGAAAAACTTGATGGTAGGGGTGGGGGTGCAAATCGAAAGTTTGAGGGGGGTGGTGCAAATCGAAAGTTTGAGGGGGGGGGGGGGGTGCAAATCGAAAAATTTGAAAGTTTGTCCCCGGAAGGGACGCTACGCCTCTGGGGGGGTGACACCATTAAGTGACACCCGACCTCGCTACGCCACTGATCTTGACACCAAACATCGACTCTGTAGGACTGAAGTACTTTTTGAGATTTTCAGTCCTTGTATAGTTTTTCTCTCTACTAAAAGCAAAGATGCAAAAACATATTGTGGATACAAAAAAGTGTATGTATAAAATTAATAAAAGCTTTACAAATTTTAAAAAAATATTTGGAGGAAAAAAAAGATTATTGGAAATGAAAGATAGTAAACATGTAAAAAACAACCAGGTCTATAACTTGTCTAAATATAAAAGGCATGATTATATCTATTGACAGGGCCGGCGCTACCTATAGGGCGAACTAGGGCGGGGCGCAAAAAAAATTGTAATCGCTATTATCAACAAGCACCTATTAATTAATAACTTTGATTATCTTCAATAAACTATAGATGGTCATATAAAAAGGAGTAGCGATCAGTGTTTCTTCCAGACTTTTTTTTTCCGGGGTGCACTTGAAATTTTTTGGGGGGGGGGGGGGGGGGGGGAGAGAGGGGAAGACAACGACTTTCTTCGGGGGGGGGGGGGGTATGCCTGGAAGAAACTCTGTTAGCGATTTATTTCGGCGCCCAGGACGAACTATCAATTTTGCATCCCCAATCCCCACCTTCAAAATTAGGTCTTTATAGGCCTATAATTTATTCGCGATTTAGTGATCGCTCCAGCGCATCATGAGACATTCCAAAAACTCGTGCAATTTTTGTAAGTCTCGTTTTCTCTGACCTTTGAATTAGAAATCTGTTCTGGTGTATAGAGTTTAGTAATGACGGAATGTTCAAAGTATTGTACTTGCATGATAAGTTTTGATGGCATCGTTTAGCTTTGGGGGTAACGGCGGAAGGCTGCTGCTGATATGGTTTCGAAGGTATAAAGTATCGAAGTGCTTAAGTGTCTTATTTTTTATTTGGCTGTTGTGTATTTGTAGATACAGTGGAATCTGATTGGTAGTACAGAAATGAGAATGTAGGTGATGTTCTGTTCGTTGTTCTGGAGTTCGGACTATCGAGTTCTTGTGGTATTCAGGTATCGAATTGTGTTGACTGTTAACTTGTAGTAGTAGGTCCAGTGAAATCGTTTTTGATTTGGAGTATCGTTTTGCAGAGCTTTGTGAAGTTGAACGAGTTGGTGTCGTAGTTTTCGAGTCTAGTTATGTTTAGGTATCGTGTTGTGAATGTAGTAGAGTTTATCAAGTAGTCGAGTTTATCGTAAGTTAGATTATTTCAACAAAGAAACGTAGGCATTCTCTAGGTGAAAAATCTTTAGTTTTAAAGGAATTTATATTACTACTCATCAATTATTTATCTACAATATTATACAGGCTGGAATTTATAACTAACCGTAAACTTTGTTCTTTTCAAATAATAATTTGTTTTTAAATTTAATCAATTAATATAGCAATATCTTATATACAGTGTTTCATCCAGACTTTTTACTCCAGGGGGGGGGGGGGCACTTGAATTTTCGGGGGGGGGGCGGTAGGCTATCTTTCGGGGGGGGGGGGGGCGGACACTGTTAACGGTATATATTTTCTATATTAATTATATACATTTCATTTCGTTCGGGGGGGGGGGGCGGTAGAGGTTTTTTTCGGGGGGGGGGGGGGCTGACTCAACTTATATGGTTTTCCCTGTTTAATTTTTTGAAAGCGTCCCTTTATTAAGGGGATCCAAAATTTGTAAATTCTAAACATAGTCAACCCAATTAAAGAATGTATGTCATCAAAATTGACTAGAAGTATCTTATAATAAAGCTACGATGTTTAGATGTTAAATCAAAACCTACAGTTAAGTAGTAAATGAGTAAAATATATTATTTTGACATAATTACATAGCTAATATAAAAGATTTCTTTTAATTATTACCTAATGAAATTTATAGCGTTTTATTGTGTTTTATTAACAATGTCTTAGTTACACTTGGTTAACCAAGCTATTCTCGAGAAAGTTATTTCCCTTGAAAACATTTTGGTATTTGGATTTGAAAATGGGAGATAATTCGTTGCTTAATTTTACATTCATTTCAAATTCATGCACCTTAGGTTGACCGCTTATATATATTTATATATACAACTTGAAGTTATTATTTGCTATTGGTAAAAATTATAGAGCAGAAGTCCTAAACAAAATAATTTGGTAGATTCTTTTAGCATTATCAGGTTGAAACAAATACATCAGTAGCCTTTGTAGATTGCAATACTTAATGTTAGTAGACATACATTATGAGATAGTGCAACAGATGCGTCTAAAATCGTCTTAGTTGCAAATTAATCATCTAATTAATTGTCTTTTTACTAGCTTTTATTGAACTCACTTCCTCTGTCGTCAGTCTGTCTAGATCGCAACGGCCGAGCGAAATTGCAGGCACTTCTGACAGATACGGTTCGTAATTTGTACGTGGGTCAAGACATGAAGACAATGCATCATGACATTCAATTTGACTTAATTGATCGCCTGATTAAATTTTTATGAATTAATTAAAATATGTACCAAATTAGTAAGCAGTTCTATCCAACTACTCCACACGCGTACAATAATTTCATAAAAAACGTTTTAATAACAAGCTTTTATGTAATAGTGCATTAAAAAGGAGAAAATAAATTATACACTACTATTTAAATAACTATAAAGAAAAGCGTGGGTCTCTTCCTAAATATTAGTAAGGGTATCCAATATATACTAAAGTGAACCACGCTTTTCTTTATAGTTATTTAAATAGTAGTGTATAATTTATTTTCTCCTTTTTAGTGCATTATTACATAAAAGCTTGTTATTAAAACGTGTATCCTCTACAGCTGGTACATATAGCAAGACATTATATAGAACAATGACAACACACAAAAACTGACTTGCCGATTCTCTTTCACGATCTTATTCACTAATTTTTGTCAGAATAGATTTCATCATCCAGGATAACTTTACCGAGTTCCTGCGATTTTTCTATCGATTGGGTTTAAGTGAAACGAGGGTGGTACGAATTGCACGCCGGTACGAATTGACCCCCCCCCCCCCCCCTCACCCCAGTTTCCATGGAGAAATTGGACATTATTCTGGTTGAGTTTTCAGAGCTGACAAACCCATACATTTGTTGATGTAAAAATAAATCACAATTACCAATGCAGGACACGGCACTTCCTGACCACTGGCCATCCTGTCCGCAGGTGAGTGTCGCGCGTGCAGGTGTGCTCACATATCCCGTCTCACACGTGTAGTTGGCGGTTTGACCGTACGTTGTGGCGCTCACACCGATGACGGCGTTAGGAGACGCTGGAGGGTCTCGGCAGTCGATTTCTGTACAACATTTGTCATGACATAAAAATTCGAATACATTATTTTCCATGATGCTATAAAAGATGAAAACATTATTTTCCTCAAGGTACTAAAAAGCGAATACTATTTCCCTCTAAGTACCAAAGTTTTTTCCTCATTGCAACAAACGATGAAACCATTTTCTTAAAGTACCAAACGGCGAAAACATTACATGTATGAGTATAAATATGTGAAAACATGCGAAAACATCATTTTCAGCACGTCTCTTTAAAAACTTCCGAATCTGATGCATAAGTTACGAAATAAATAAGCATTTTAAAACAATTGAAATGAGCGATTACCTTCACAGGTGACAACAGTCCCAGACCACTGCCCATCCGGTCCACAGGTTAAACTGGAACGTTCTGGTACCCCGGTGTACCCAAGTTGACAGGTGTAGTTGGCCGTGTGTCCGTAGGTCGTGTTGGTCACGTCTATGACTGCATGACTTGAGTCAGGCGGACTTAGACAGTCAACCGCTGTGATAAGATTCTTTAATTAATTAAACTCCGTTCTTGTTCGCTTATTAGCTCATTACAGCTTACACCAGTGTCCAACAAATGCCACCATAATAGAATCTTCTTTAAAACGGGGTGTTAGGTTACTGGCAGTGAACTAAATTCTATTATAATTTGGTAATGTCCAAGCTAAAAATATCCTAAACCCTAGCTAAAGTACTAACATAGCCTTGTTGTATTTATGCGGTCATATTACACCAGAGATTTACGAGGCCAGTATATAATGCCGATATAACGCCATGTAAGTCATATTTCAATACCCACAGAGACATTTGTATTACATATTTGACTCATGTTGTCCAACACACTTAATGCACACTGAGGGAAATAAACCGCCTTGATGTTGTAGACTAAGTAGGTACACTCGATGTAAAAACAGCATTTCGGTCGCAAAAAGTTGTGCGCCTTAATAAGTGACGCAGAGGTTTGGGTCTAACTATCTTTCGAGGCGATCTTGGCGCTGGTTTGGTGATGATGATGGGGTGGGGTGGGACTTTTGGGAAGAAAGAGGTAGGTCCGTTTTTAACCATTATAATGTTCAACTTTTTGACTTTGTCACCTCTTCATGAAATGGTATTTATGAAGTGATATTCCAGTAGAAAGTAAAAAAAAAATGTATTAAAAGACAAATATGATTGAATGCTCACGTGTGCAGGTGAGGTTAGCTCCTGTCCACTGCCCGTCCGACTCACAGACCAGTGACCCTTGACCCTGTGGGCTGGTGTAGCCAGGTAGACAGGTGTAGTCTGCCTGTTGTTTGTACGTGGTGCCAGACACGTCCAGCGCAGTGTTGGGGAAGCTCGGCGGCGCGTGGCAGTCGATTTCTGGAACCGTAAAAATGTTTATTTCGTTTCAGGGACAAACACAGTGTGTATTTTTGTTTTTTTTCTAATCGAAAGAATAATACAGAATAGAATCTCTTTCTGTCCATTGAGGTTAGGATTATGTTTAGGGCCAAGTGTAGGGTCGGCTGGGATAAGATTAGGTTTAGAGCCAAGGCCATGGTATCCATTAGGGTTATTATAAGGTGAACTCTGAAGGCACGAGTCAGTGTGGTTAGGGTTAAGTTTATGGTCAGAGCTAAGTTCAGATATAAGGTCAGTTTCACTGTAAGGGCTAGGGTTATGTTAGGGGCTTGGAAAGAGACGTCGATCTAACCGTAGCAGTCTTTACTGTTGTTCAGTGTTTTCAATGCAATTTTTTTAAATGTATGTAATATTTAGTACATGTTAAAATGTTACCTGTGCATGTAATAACATCCCCTGACCACTGGCCATCAAGTTCACAGGTGAGGGTGGAGCGTTCTGGTGTACCCAGGTAACCTGCCTCACACGTGTAGTTGGCCGTGTGGTTGTAGGTGGTGTTGGTCACGACGATGATGGCGTGGGATGATGTGGGAGGGGCCCCACAGTCAATCACTGTACGGAGCAGGCCAATGACATCAAGTGAGACAAGACGGTGACCATAAAGAAATTCGCCATTGGGCAAAAAAAGTGCTAAATGGAATATCGCGCACACAGAAAAATACACAAACAGATAAATGCGCACGTAGAAAAAATGCGCATAAAGAAAATTAAGGACCCAAAAAATGCGCAAAAAATAAGATGAAATAAAAATAAAATAAAAACGCTGATGAGAAAATGCACACAAATTGAAAAAAAAATATTTTTCTGTGTGTAATAACTAAATGAAGACATTGCTGGAAAACGGGGATGTATTCAAAGATGTGAGTCGTGTTTTGTTACCTATGCAGGTGAGGACACTCCCTGACCACTGCCCGTCTAGCCCACAGGTGAGTGTTGGTTCACCTGACGTGGGCAGGTAGCCTGTGTCACAGGTATAGTTGGCCGTGTGAGTCACCGTTGTGTCGGTCACCTCGATGATCGTATGGGCTGAGTCTGGTGGACTGTGACAGTCTATGGCTGAAAAATGTATTGGCGTCACGTGGATAATGTCTATATTTAAGCTGTCACGTGAATGTCTATATTTAGATGTTACCTAATAATTTAACGTATTGTATTATTGTAACACAAAATCGCATTTAAGCACAAAGTTCAGAAGGGGACGACGTGGCTTAGCAGTAGAGCTGCTAACCCGAAAGTCTCCGAATCCGGGTAGAATCTCCCTGAGTCCACCCAGCTCTGATGGGTACCTAGCTCACGTTAGGGAAAGTAACGGCGGCTGGGCATTGCGCTGACCACATTATGCCTGCATATACGAGGTCACAGAAACAGGTGAACTAAACTTCACTGCCCCAGGTTGGAAAATAGAACTTCACAAAGTTCAGAAACATTTAACTTTTCGTCCTCTACTACTAGGTTTTAAATCGTTTGTACGAAAGACATAATTTAGAATTAAGTCTATTCTCATTTGGCTTTTATTTATATGAAAGATCCATTTTGGAAGGTCTCCCACATAACATTTAAAAAACTTGAGCAGCCAAATGCTATCACTAAACAAACCCACTTTCCTTTCAGATTCCTCTCTTTGTACTTACGGTACTTACATTCTTTAAACAACCCTATTTATAGTAACACGCGAAAAATGTGGGGCAATAAATCGTGTTATTGTCATTTCGTTATCTACCCTGTATTTTAAAAGGGAAGAGAAGGGCTAGTACATGCCCCTGTTTTACTGCAGTGATTTACGTTTCTTGGCGCAAAAAGCTTCGAGTGGGTGTCTGGCCTGATGATGTCATGCATGTGGAGTGCCTATAAATATGCACGAATCGAAAAAATTGGATTTTACTGTCTCAGGTCAAGTGGGATAGACGGGTTTATTAAATAAAATACAATACTTTAGGCAGATTAAATGAGAACAGAAATAGAATTTTTAAATGTGTACTCACGACTTACATTTTATTTTAAATTTCCATTTTTATTGTGTGTTTTTTTTTAATTTATATTTTTCTTAGCAATATGATTCTGTAGACCTATTTTTTTTTGTTAATATTAATCTAATCCAACTTAGTTCACACCATGCTCTGTATGTATATCACACCTTTAATTAGTGGGAAACTTCAACGTCTTTATATTATGTATGAATAATTCTGATCCGACAGCCACATTGCCTATAGAAGTAGAGCTAATGTTTCTTGACTGCAGCAAATGAAGGGATAGTGTGGTCAGCATTATGTCCAGCAGACTTTTTCTTTCCATAACGTTAGTTAGGTACTCATCATAGCTGGGTGGACTCAGGGATGTTCCACTGACTTAAACTCGAGACTTTTAGGTAGCAGTCCAGCGCTCTATCGCTATACCACGCCGTCCCACGCTTAGATACACATCAGTGTTGCAAACTCTAAAAAACTATATTAACGTTTTTCACCTTGTTTCGTTGTTTACTACAAACTAACTCCGAGATTAACTTAAAACTGTTTACCTAAACTGGCGAAATAATTTTTTTATTATATGGTATCAAAAGCATTCATCTCTCTCGTTGTTAGTGTCTATACAAAAAGTTAAAAAGTTATAAGAAGATTCAGTTTTTTTACACAGTATTCACTGAGATGATACATTTGTACAATTTGTGTGGCATACTTACCACACGACCACACAATCTGTCCACAGAACACAACCTAGCCTCACAACACCACACAACACAACCTGCCCACAAAACACCAAACAACCTATACCCACAACACAAAACAACCTATCCACACAACACCACACAACCTATCCACGCAACACCACACAACCTAACCACACAACACAACACAACCTAACCTAACCACACAACACAACACAACCTATCCACACAACACAACACAACCTATCAGCAATCTGTTCACACAATACAACACAACCTATCCACATAACGCCACACAACCTAATCACACAACGCAACACAACCTATCCACACAACACAACACAACCTATCCACACAGCACCACACAACCTAACAACACCACACAACCTATCCACACAACACCACAATCTATCCACACAACACCACACAATCTATCCACACAACAAAACACAACCTAACAACACCACACAACCTATCCACACAACACAACACAACCTATTAACACAACACCACACAACCCATCCACACAACAAAACAAAACACAACCTAACAACACCACACAATACAACTTATCCACTAAAAGCAACACAGTAAAACACAACCTATCCACACAACACAACACAACCTAACAACACAAGAACCTATCAACACAACACCACACAACCTATCCACACAACACCAGACAATCTAACCACACAACACAATACAACTTATCCACTAAAAGCAACACAGTACAACACAACCTATCCACACAACACCACAAACTATCAACACAACACCACACAACCTATCCACACAACACAACCTATCCACACAACACAACCAATCCACACAACACCACACAACCTATCCACACAACACAACCTATCCACACAACACAACACAACATATCCACACAACACCACACAACCTATCCACACAACACCACACAACCTATCCACACAACACCACACAACCTATCCACACAACACCACACAACCTATCCACACAACACCACACAACCTATCCACACAACACAACCTAACCACACAACACAACCTATCCACACAACACCACACAACCTATCCCCACAACACCACACAACCTATCCACGCAACACCACACAACCTAACCACACAACACAACACAACCTAACCTAACCACACAACACAACACAACCTATCCACACAACACAACACAACCTATCAGCAATCTGTTCACACAATACAACACAACCTATCCACATAACGCCACACAACCTAATCACACAACGCAACACAACCTATCCACACAACACAACACAACCTATCCACACAGCACCACACAACCTAACAACACCACACAACCTATCCACACAACACCACAATCTATCCACACAACACCACACAATCTATCCACACAACAAAACACAACCTAACAACACCACACAACCTATCCACACAACACAACACAACCTATTAACACAACACCACACAACCCATCCACACAACAAAACAAAACACAACCTAACAACACCACACAATACAACTTATCACCTAAAAGCAACACAGTAAAACACAACCTATCCACACAACACAACACAACCTAACAACACAAGAACCTATCAACACAACACCACACAACCTATCCACACAACACCAGACAATCTAACCACACAACACAATACAACTTATCCACTAAAAGCAACACAGTACAACACAACCTATCCACACAACACCACAAACTATCAACACAACACCACACAACCTATCCACACAACACAACCTATCCACACAACACAACCAATCCACACAACACCACACAACCTATCCACACAACACAACCTATCCACACAACACAACACAACATATCCACACAACACCACACAACCTATCCACACAACACCACACAACCTATCCACACAACACCACACAACCTATACACACAACACAACCTATCCACACAACACCACACAACCTGTCCACTGGCTTACTCTGACACTCCACCTCTGGCCCCTCCCAGGTGCCAGACTCGCCACAGGTCAGTGTGGTGTCCCAGCCGACAGGCACGTAGCCCGTGTCGCACGTGTAGCTCACCCTGGCGCCGTAGAAGGTGCCGGACAGTGAGCTGCTGGCCCTTGGAAAGACAGGCGGGTCCCCGCAGTTAAGAACTAGAGAAACAAGCATCATAAGAACACTAGCTAGCGACTCAAGCTTTGCTTAGCGGGAGTTGGGTTAGCTGTTAGTAGAGTTAATCGTCGGCAGGACTTGTTCAAGGAAATTTTGTTTTGATTGTATCCAGTGTTTCTTCCAAGCATCTCATCTACTGCATACAGTCTACTGTCCCCGAACGAAATGGAATTTAAATAGAAAATGTATACTTTTAACAGTGTCCGCTCCACCCCCCCACCCCCCCCCCCCCCCTTCGGAAATTTTAGTGGGTAAAAAAAAATTAAGTAAAATACTGAATTGTCCTGCCGACCTTATTGTATTGACTTTATACTTGACATACCATGGCAGAAGAAATGTAAATGTTAGTGAATTTTTACTTTATAAAACAAAACTAGCCATATAACCGAAACTAAATTTAGTAAGATTGTGTATAGTCGAATAATGCATTTCAAAAGGGGGGAAAAACAACTTACATTTTGCGACAAAAGAACAAAAAAAATCAAAGAAAAAAAATCAAAGATAGGGTTATTTAACATTATCACACATTATGACCCTTTGACCTCTTTTATACAATGAAAAATACAATAAACCACCCTAACCCATGCATGTTATATAATCTTTTCACGAACCAAAACACTATTCGTTTAACGAATATATATATATATATATATATATATATATATATATATATATATATATATATATATATATATATATATATATATATATATATATATATATATATATATATATAGGGAGAACAGTTAATATGACATAGTTCCGGTACCCACATTCATCAACACACACAAAAAGGTTGGATACCGCTTGTTACCCTTAACAACACTTAACCTAATCCTACTTCTACACATCCTATTATAAACTTAAACTGTCCCCTTAGTAAGTTTAAAAGGTCTATACCGTTTTAAAAAGTAACACCTGTTTGTAACAGCACAAAATGATACCGGTATTTAAATAGCCCACACCTACCCTGAACTATGCATAGCCTTCAAGAAGCGCATACTTGAAATAACCCCATACCTAATCTAACAAAAAACCAATACCTATTTTTAATCTGAGATGCATAGTTGAAACACCCCAAACCTAACCAATCAGTAACGAATACCGCTGACAAACAGAGTTTGAAAATGTCAATCTTTCTTACAAGAACATTCTAAAGCCTCGCCCGACCACGTTCCATCATCCTGACAGGTCAAGGTCGATTGGCGCTCACCCTGGGGGCCAACTAACCCCGTCTCGCACGTGTACACAGCCACTGCCCCCGCCATTGTGTTTGGACAATCAACAAGGGCGGTGGTCGTACGGGGAGGGGTGCCGCAGTCAACTCCTGGAACTTTAATTAGGATCAATCAAGTAATTAGTATGTTAATTAACAAAAAACGCAGCGTCACAATAAATTAGATTTGTGAAGACGCACGGTGTATAGGTTTCTCCAGCTGCCGAAAACACGGCTACATTTCTAAAGTAAACGAGAAGCAGAATAAAGATGTTAATAGCCTATTCCTGTATGAGATAAGATACGAGAGCCTAGCAGCGTATATGCTTGAAGCAGCCAGTAAGCTTTAAGCGAAGAAGACAAGATAGGTGTAGAGTTGTGTACAGGCTTGTAAGGGAACTTCACTTGATGTTCTACGTGTTTGTCCAAATCCATCAAATGACAAAAAAAAGTGTTTTTTGTGAAAAGGTAAACGGGGATTCTTAAAATAGTGCTGAGTAAGGAGAGGGAAAGAGAGACTCAAAATTTGGACGGGGTACGAGAGAGAGGGGAGGGGGTGGGCTAACAAATTATATGTTTAGTGTGTAAAAAATTGCTTATGATTTAAACAGTCTGCTTTATGAATTCGTTTTGAATGGAGCAAAGTGTAAGGAAAACTCACTATCCATTGTTTGGTTGAAATATTGACATTTTAAAAATCAAAGTTAACTTTTGAGTAGTGGTAGATTTGAATCATGATCTTTCTGAAGTCTTAAACTTATTCAAACCATACTGAGATGGGTAAAATAAAAATATTTTTAGTTTTCATTATTTTTGCGTTAAAATTAAGCGATAAGTTACCGTGGGAAGGATCTACGCACCTAGATAAGGTGATGAAAAAGAAAAGTGTGCTTACAGTGAGCAGAACTAAGAAGATAGCAGCAAGCTAGGATTTAATGCAGCATTAAAATTAAGTATAACTATACTCGCTCTGCTAAGATTAAGCTAATCTGGCTAAATAACAGTTCAAAGAAAATGAAACAAAGAATCTTTACCTATACACTTAACCGAGGGACCGTGTGTTAAGTCTTTTTTCCAAGTGCCATCGCTCAAGCAGAAAATCATCCCCATGTTTCTTGGATTTTCAGGCACGTAGCCATCGTTGCAGACCTCTGTGACGTTCGCCAGGTACCCGTGGAGGTAGGTAGACAGATGGGCGTTAGGGTCTTGTGGCAGCGGGGGTACCGGGCACTGCACTTAAAGATCGTGAAAACATACATGCAGTTTGTGGACTTTATAGGGGAAAATAATAACAGGTATATGTGATAAAGGGAAAATTGTATGAGCTTGGGAGCATTCACTTTATCAGAAAATATGCTCACAAAATGCTCACAAATTTAAACCCCAGATATGTCTTCAAAACATTTTACCTGGAAATTCATGTTGGTTAAACAGGGGTAAATTGATGTCCTATTGTGACAAAACTGATGATTTTAAACAATGCTGCAGTTAGCCGACTAGAGCGATTTGCAGGGACGCCTTAAGAACTGCTATGGGAAGTATTTTTGGAATGGAAACAGAGCGTAGCTACCATTAAGCTAGCGTAAGCAAGGCACAGGGGTCCAAGGAAAGTAGGGGCCCTTTTCCCTCTTTAAAAAAGATTTAAATTTTTAATTGAAATTTTAATATATGTTTTATAAAAATAATTTTAAAAAGAAAATGGAAATCCAGTTTCTTTTCTACTGTAGAAAGAATCAAAAGTTTTGACAGTAATTTTTACGAGTTTTCGTCATGGTGTCACGCCTAAAATGTGACACATCCGTCCCCGACTTGTGACGCTACTGTGTTAGGTCACAGGATCATTGTTAATTTGTTGGCTTGGTTTTACATAAAAGTGATATAAAATCAAAGATATTTTACGTTACGGGGACTACATAATAAATACACAATTAGGAAGTATAAAATAAAAAAAAATTACAGATTAACGAAGGGGCCCAATGATAATTGTTGCATAATGGCCCGAAAATCTTCGTTACGCCACTGAATTGGAAATCTCTGGTAAAATATTAAATCAGTCAAAAATGTCTAATACTGTATCACTGTTTTAAGAAAAATTCAACTGCAATTTTGAGGGGGGGGGGGCAGGGTTGTAGGTTGAGGTTGACGTCATTTTAGGGGTGGGGGGATCTGGCTTTTTGTTACGATATGTGACGGAGGGGAGGGGGAGGTAAAAATCGTCCAAAAAGCATGACGTCATTTATGGATAACCCTTTCCCCCCATTTCTTGTTAAATCTAAATTTAGGTTCTTAATTATTTGAGTTTAACCATTGAATACATAATTTTACCACTCATTTCTACGGTGGTTCACTTATCAGGAGGCTCAAGAAGATTTTAAATAATTTGAAAACATAAAAATCGTTTGTAGTGGACGGTTTGTTAAGCTTTTTACAGGAGTGTCCACTGTACCCTTGTGTATTTTGCTTTATACCCTAGTGTATAGCTTTATATCCTAGTGTATAACTTTATACCCTAGTGTATAGCTTTATACCCTAGTGTATAGCTTTATACCCTAGTGTATAGCTTTATACGCTAGTGTCTATAGCTTTATACCCTAGTGTATAGCTTTATACCCTAGTGTATAGCTTTATACCCTAGTGTATAGCGTGTATAGCGCTTTATACCCTAGTGTCTATATCTTTATACCCTAGTGTATAGCTTTATACCCTAGTGTCTACAGCTCTATACCCTAGTGTCTATAGCTTTATACCCTAGTGTATAGCTTTATACCCTATTGTCTATAGCTTTATACCCTAGTGTCTATAGCTTTATACCCTAGTGACTATTGCTTTATACCATACTTCTATAGCTTTATAATCTAGTGTCTATAGCTTTATACCCTAGTGTATAGCTTAATACCCTAGTGTCTACAGCTCTATACCCTAGTGTCTATAGCTTTATACCCTAGTGTCTATAGCTTTATACCCTAGTGACTATTGCTTTATACCCTACTTCTATAGCTTTATAATCTAGTGTCTATAGCTTTATACCCTAGTGTATAGCTTAATACCCTATTGTATAGCTTTATACCCTAGTGTATAGCTTTATACCTTAGTGACTAGTGTATAGCTTTGTACCCTAGTTTCTATAGCTTAATACCCTAGTGTTTATAGCTGTATACCATAGTGTCTATAGCTTTATACCCTACTGTCTATAGCTTTATACCCTAGTGTATAGCTTTATACCCTACTGTCTATAGCTTTATAACCTAGTGTATAGCTTTTTACCTTACTGTCTATAGCTTTATACCCTAGTTTCTATAGCTTTATGCCATACTGTCTATAGCCCATTACCTTCTAAAACTTTAGTACATGTTGTCAGACAGTCGACCATTGCCTCTGTGTCGTAGCAATATCCTTCCTTCGCCTGTACTAAACAATCGCACCTTTTGTCCTGTGTGTCCACTAGAAAGGAATTAATAACAACCATTCTTTTACCAATCTAAGTACTTCAAACATAATTAAATTAATAATTAAGTTTCACACTCACTGTTTATTAAAAAAACAGCCATTGATACCACAAAAGAATTATAAACAGCAACTATTTTTTACTTTCTCGTGTATACAAAGTATAGAGAAAGTCTTGTAATCGTGCAAAAAAAAAATCGTGATTTTTGTAAATCTCGACTTTTTACACCTCACTAATACAGAAAAACATAATTTTGCAATCTTGTCCGTATGTCTGTGTGGCTGTCTGTGCGTGTAAACACGATAACTTGAGTACCGTTACAGCTAGGTTGATGACATTTCATATATAAGTATTTTATCAACTTTTGAGCGATTACCGATAACCGGAAGTGGTACTTTTTCTACTTTGAATTTTTCAAAAGCCTATAACGAGTACTTTTTCAGATAGATAAATGAAATTTCACATGTAAATAAAAGATCTAATTCTCTACCTTCTGTCAAATTTTGAGTAATTTCCGTTGACCGGAAGTACTAATTTACGCTATTTCCGATTTCTCAAAAAACGCATGTAAATTTATAAAGTACTAATAATATTCCGCACTATTATGCACATTTTATTAGGCGTTCACTTGGTGTGCAATTCTTTTTTTACGAGATTCTATTCTATTATAAAAAGTTAAAGTAATTAAAAATGGATTACAAATATTGTCTATATCCTGAGTTGCCATCCCTCGTAGTTTTATATAAGAATATTCGAGAAAGTTTAGGGGAGATCACTCCCGGTTTATTTTTACAAAAGACAAGTAGTCCTCTTGTAGCTTCTCTCTATGTAACTTGCGCGTTGACAAGCATTCTGGAATAAGGTGGGACGAATTCATCAAAAGCACCACCTTTTCACTAATCACATATTTACTTTTTTCATCAAGACAAATGTCAAACATGACAGAAGTGCTTTTACATCTTGAGATTTAGGGTAATTGCTTTTACTTAAAAGGATTGCTTGTTTAATTATATAAATGAACACATTTCCAAAAAAAAAAGTAATCGGGAGCCCCCACCCCCGCACCATTCAGGCTCCCTGCTGGCTGCACCTTTGCCCTGAGTCAGTGTTTCTTCCAGAATTGGGGGGGGGGGGGGGAGGCGGACACTGGTAAAAGTATGTTTCAATTCGTTCGGGGATGACTTGAAGAAACTCTGTCCTGAGTTCTCATTGAAGACCATTCGCCATTTAGATCATTCTGGAATTATTTTGGTCATTTTTACCGAGCTCTCAGCTCACATTACTGGTGTGTGATCCAGTAACCATGGGATGAAAAATATAAACGAATAAACCGGGAGTGATCTCCCCTAAACTTTCTCGAATATTCTAATATAACACTACGTGGGATGGCAACTCGGAATATAGACATGATTTTTGTTCACTTAAACTTTTAAAAATATAATAGAATCTTGTAGAAAAAAGAACTGCACACCAAGCGAACGCAAAAACAAAATGTGCATAATAGTGCGCAATATTATTAGTACTTTATAAATTTACATTCGGTTTTTGAGAAATTGAAAATAGCGTAAATTACTACTTCCGATCAACGGAAATTACTCAAAATTTGATAGAAGGTAGAGAATTAGATATTTTACTTACATGTGAAATTTTATTTATCTATCTGAAATAGTACTCAAGTTAAAGGCTTTCGAAAAATTCTAACTAAAAAAGTACCACTTCCGGTTATCGGAAATCGCTCAAAAGTTGATACTGATCTACGATTTTGATAAACTACTTATATATGAAATTTCATCAACCTAGCTGTAACGCTACTCAAGTTATCGTGTTTACAGACACACACACAGACACACACACAGACGCACAAACAGACATACACACAGACATACGAACAAGATTGCAAAATTATGTTTTTCTGTACCAGTGAGGTGTAAAACGTCGAGATTTCCAAAAATCTCGATTTTTGTTTTGCACGATTACAAGACTTTCTCTATACTTCGTATATACGAGAAAGTAAAAAGTACTCAATAGATTTGAAAAACTCGACGTAAAATTGCAATGGAGTTTGTTTCGAGTACCGTGTTTATTCAAACTTTTCATTTTAGCCGCCTAAGGTTCCACTTTTTTTTCCCCACAGCAGTTGCTTAAAAAAAACATTTGATGATCAAGTGTGAATGATGGGAATGACCCAAGCTACCATAGCTTTACCCAATCCACCATAACTTTACCCATAACTTTATCCACTCTACCATAACTTTACCCATAACTTTACCCATAACTTTATCCACGCTACCATAACTTTACCCATAACTTTACCCATAACTTTATCCACTCTACCATAACTTTACCCATAAATTTACCTACTCTACCATAACTTTACCGTGCCTAAACCACCACACCACCATCAATAAGCCTCCTAAGATTTTACCTCCCTGACAAGCACACGGGTTCTTGCACACTCTCGGACAGTCCACGAGCATGTTCTCTGTGTCCAGCTCGCATTGTCCAAGCGATGCCAGATAGCTGCATGAGCTGTCATCGTCACATTGAGCTGAACCTTCTGTGGATGGGGGGGGGGGGGGGGGGGGGGAGAAAACACGACGTGAGTAGAAGCTTATTATAATTTTAAACTACTTTATTTCCAAAATAAGTACACGCAAGGGCTGCTTGCAATTAGGGACCACAGAAACAGAGCCAGAGTTTATTTCGGGTTCTTTTATCTTTTAAAAGGGGCTTAGCCCCCTTCTCCCTTCCCCATTCCGAAGCATGTGTATCGCCCCCCCTCCCCCACCTAAAGAGAGTTTATATAAAAAGTATATATTTTTACTAGTGTGTCGTCGTCGTCTCCCCCCCCCGGAAAAAAAGTTTAAAAGAAACGCTAACCCACCTGTTTGTATAACCAGCATATATATTATATTTATGGTCATGAGAAAAGTAATATATCATAATTGTTTTTAATACATTATTAAGCTTGTTTTAATAAAACAAAAAAATTATTATGCTTGCAACTATAGTTAAACCTGATTAAAATGTGTTTATTTTGCTCTTTGGTGCGTTTTAGTTGGACCTTGAAAAAATGTGTTTATATATCGCAGTAATGTTTACCTTCTAAAATACTATTGATACATTGACTTATTGCAAATGCCACTCGTAGATTGATCTGTTTATTCAAATACTGTTCGGCAAGTGTAAGGGGGGGGGGGGGGTTCTTGTAGTTTTAGGAGGGTAGCTTACAATTAATTATGTACTTGTTTGTTGGTAAAGCGTGAGCTGATACCGGTTTATACTGATCTTAAATTTAAATTTTCAGGATCTTCATACTCGACAAACTATGCTCAGCAAGTGTTGCTTCCAACATTTTCCGGGGGGGAGGGGGGGGGGGGGGGTCAACGTTTCCGGGGGGGGGGGGGGGGGCGGACACTGATAAAATATATGTTATATAAATTCTGTTTCGTTCGGGGGGTCGGTAGACTTTTTTCGGGGGGGGGGCACTGCTCCCCTGAAGAGATGCCTGGAAGAAACTCTGTGCTCAGCTTCACACAAAGTGCATTTTAGACAAAGTATTTATTACAGCAAGCACTTCATTCTCAGACTAAAATAAAGCTAATTTTATATCGCAACATTAATATCGTCTTATTTTTACTTAAATATCGTGGAGCTAAAACATTTAAAATTAAAATAATGAATGTTCGTCAAATTAAATATAATAACGCCCAATTATTTGCTCTAGGTATAGTGTTTCAAAAGCCGGAAGACCGTTCTAAATTTACCGTTAATTATTTATCTAATTTTCTAATTATTCCCATTGTGTTAAGAATTACAATAGCCAATCTGCGGTGTGCATGGTGTTTAAATCTAGTATTGATACAGAAACAAAACAAACATTCGGGTAAGCGAAATGGAGCGGTGACAAACGATTTATTTCATGTTATTTAATAGGCAAGAGGTCATTCATACGTCACGCTCCCAGGGGGAGGGGGTTGCACTTGTGTGACGCTGTTACAAGGGGGGGGGGGGGAGGTGTAGAAAGTGTGATCCCACACATTTGCATTATTACTTGTCTTGCTAGAAACCGAATTTAAACCGGTTTCCCGTTTTTAATTTTTTCTCATTAGTAAAAATAATATTTATTGAATCGGTCTATATTTGAGTAAGAAATATCTTTATAACAATTAATTTTTAGGGAAGGGGTGTGATAGGATGGCTTATGAATTGTCTGAGGGACTTCACCGAAACCCAACATGTACATCAGTAGCGTAGCCAGGATCGTCTTAAGGGGGGGTTCAATTTTTTTTCCTGCTGTATATAACCCGGGGACAAACTTTCGATTTGCACCCCCCCCCCCCTCAAACTTTCGATTTACACCCCCCTCAAACTTTATATATATACTGAGGGGTCTATGGGGGGATGACCCCCCTAACCCTCCCCCTCTGCCTATGCCACTGATGTACACAACAGTATTTAGTGATGTGGGCGCTGAGTGCATTCTTACAAAGTTAGCATCAAGGGAGACAGCTAGCAAACAAATACAGTTAAAAATTTTCTTCAATAAAACAAAACGTATCATTACCTTTAAGAATCAACGCACCATACAGCAATAAAATAATCCACGAATTTGAAAAGTTGTGCCTTTTCACACCTCCGCTAGACGTCGCTGCCATTAAATGTTGTTTTCTTTACTCATAGGCACTCTGCCTAAGCTGCAGGGGTCACAAATAAATACATTCAGCTCTTTACAAATATATGTGATAAACGGCTTTACAATTGTATGTGATAAACGTAATTATAAAATATTATTTCGCTGAAAAATGGTTGTATATTATCTAAATACAGTTGCTTTCGCATAATCAAATTTGTTCTAAAAAGGTACACAGCATTAATATTGGGAACTCCTTTTATTCAATACCTCGTAAATTTTAATCTAAAATATTATAAAACGTTTATTCGATACGAAACATGTATCTTCAATTTACTTGAACATATTTTGTAGTAAAACTAACCGAAAAAAAGTTTATTTAACTGCGTTGATGAAAATGCTGTAGGCTTATTCTTTCGGAAATTGGTTTTATAACTAATATATTACATATCAACAAAAATCCGTAACGGCAGATCACAAAACTTGTCTGGTTCAAGCGCATACACTTTCTGTATCTTATTCTCCGTGTCCTGTCGGTTGTAAGTTAATCCTGACAATGTTGGGACACTTATCTACTAAACGCCTCCGACGTCGTAAATTTTCATACAAACCATTCGGTAGAAATCGAGTGATAAGTATCGAATCCAATCCAGGTAATAAATTCAGTTGGTGGGTGAACTAAGGTAAAGTCGAAAGTAAACACGGTCAGGTTATCGAACAATAAAATCCCAGCGTTGATTGATTAAAATGTAGTAAATAATATATCGAGTGGTTTTTTAAAAAGATTTTCATGTTTAAATGGATTTTCATGAGTCACATGCTAGTGTCGCGGTAGTGTGTCAGTAACAAGTTATAACTTTAACAAATGTATGAAATATGACATGTCGTTGTCTCTGCAAACATACAGGCCCACGTGTATTAGGCCGTATAACTCTTAATAAAAAGTGTAGTAAATAAAATATAATTTATTTCATTTCTTTATTTAACTAATACATAAAAAGTTCTTGTATATTGATTTGATAAAAGGATGTATCAACTATTTTGAAAAATGGAGCGTTTTTATTTTGTTTATAAAAAGTGGAAAGAAAAGTTTGAACATGAAGAGAAAAAAATATAAATGACGATCGGCAAACATTTCTAAATATTGAAACAAGCCACAACAGAGTGTTGTTTAGATGCTTAACGCTGATTTCATATATATATATATATATATATATATATATATATATATATATATATATATATATATATATATATACGTTCGTGTGTGACATCCTGATTTACCACACCGGATGTCACCCGACCTAGTGGCGCCACTGTTGGCTTGAAGAAAGAAACGTAATCACCAGGAAAATAAACATGAAATTTCAACAATAGTACACAATTCGGAAACAGCTATCCATATCATTTCATCAAGCCTTACCACAAGAATTATCAGTTTTTACTTTATCCTCTACCCTTCACCCAACACATTAACCGTAGCGCTTAACTAAACAAACAAAGTCGTATAAACTAAAAAAAAAAACGTTTCTAAAATTACTTTGAAAAACCAACAATGCACAGGCACCCCTGCGGTCCGGCCCTGCTCACAATGTAACCTAATTAAATTCCACAGTACTCACGCTAGCCAGGTAACTGAGACCTCTATCCTAGGCTATGGACGACGTGGTTGTGGCCTGGTCATATCCCTTATCCTGCTGGGACCAACGGTCGACTATCGACTTTTTATAGTCGTGTCGTGATAGTGGGTCGAAGATTGGAGTCATGGGCGGGACAAAGGGGTGTGGGGGTGTCTTATAGCACTGTAAGTGACAGCTGTCTGTCACTATCGGCACAGTGACAGAAGTCAATGTGACAGCTATACTTTTAAAAGTGCCAACACGGACAGTCAATGTGACTACATGGACAGTTAATGTGACAACACGGACAGTCAATGTGACAACACGGGCAGTTAGTGTAACAGCATTGACAGTCAATATGACAACGTGGACAGTCAATGTGACAACGTGGACAGTCAATATGACAACATCTAGTCAATGTGACAGTAGATTTTCTTAAACAGTAACACCACTGACAGTAAATATAACAGTATATTTTGCGCAACATTTAACTTTAAACAAAGTAAAACTACTTTAAACAAACAAAGCAAAAGTACTTTAAACAAATAATACAAAACTACTTTGCTCTTTATTCAATGTAAACAAAACAAAATTGGTCAGAAATTAGTCAGCGTAGGCCAAGTTACTAGTTCATTGACAGCTCTCATTGTATTTCTGTAGGCCTACATTTTATTTTTGCAGCGACTTCAAAAACAGCGAAATAACACAAGACTTAGCTTGTACATAAGTCTCTGTCAAAACAACAATAAGATAACTGAGACTTTAATAAATACACGTCTAAAGAATATATTAAGAATAAAATGACAGGACAAAGGTAATATAAAATTGTAAGGTATTTGTTTATAGAAAACAATAGAAATGCAAATCATGGAAAGAAAAATTCCAATGGATCGGGCATAAGATCTGTAAAGATACAGACAGCAGAGCCGCCAGGCAGGTCATAGAGTGGAGTGCAACCCTGGAGTGGAACCCCAGAAGTGGAGTGCAGCCCTGGAAGAAACTCTGGCCACAACCATAACACTAACCTAAACTCTAGACCTATCTCAACATATGAACACACCGGCATTGATAATACCTGTTATTGGATAAAACGATATCTAAGCGGCAAGAACCACGTTGACAGTGTAAACATGCTTCTTACTTTATTTTATTCGATTTAAACGACAAATAGTATAATGTTCATCTTTTAAATTTAAAAAAATAAATAAATTGATTAGATGTTTAAGACTGTTAATACCTTTCTATTGTTACCTAAAACATATGAACTCTTCTAATTAAAAAAGAAGCAAAAGGTTAATAATTAGCGCCATTTTCTCAAGCATGACTTGTGTATTCAGGCAGCAGGTCGATAGACGATTGCACCCCGCCTTACTTGCTCAGGGCCCGGTACTGCTTCACCTCTGGGGAGAAATTTTAGACTGCTACACAATGAGAAGTGAGCGCGTCGCGTGAGAATTTCACCTTCGGCAGTTAAAAAAGAAATTGCAGGAACTTTTGTTTATTCGGCGAATAAAAAAAATATTCTAGGCGTAACCGACTTGCTATGTTGAATAAATAGAGATTAAATTCATCGCATGAATGCACTCACGGTTTTTTTTAAATTTGTTGCTTCTTGTTTGAGTCGAGACCAGATCAGGACTTGTGTTTCTTTCAGGCATTTCTCTTATTTTTCTTATGTGGATCTCTTGCCCTTCCCCCGCGTGGGACGTCCCACACTCTCCGACAAAATAGAAATATACATAATTTTTAATTATATAGATAATATTTAACCAGTGCCAGCCCTCCTTACCCGGATTTAGGAAAGTGTAATTGCGCCGCCTCCTAGAGAAAAAAAAAAGAAGCCTTGACCAATATCAAGTTTATTTTACTGGTATCGTTTCACTCGCGCTGTTCGAAACTCCAGCTTTAGTGATAAACCTAACACTCATATCGATACCTATTTAAAAAGTCGATACGATACTACATTCTCTCCCCCCCCCCCCCCCCACTAAAAGCAGCAATTTAAAATTTGGAGAAATAAATTTTTATAAAAAGCTCATATAAATAAAAATCCATGTACCATATTTTAATAATTATTTATTTTTATTGCACTGGTTTGTACATTTTAAATTGAAAATATCAACAAATTTACAAAAATATTTAAACATGACATGAAAAATTATTTTTATGAGGCACATTTTTTCTAGTCACAGTTTCCAACAAGACATTACGTACTCTAGGAGCAACACACACTTGTCAAAAGCCTCAAGTTCGATACTCGTGCTAGACAATGTAGGTTGTTTCCCGACGGAGCGACCCACAGTATCCAAACCTGGTGGTGTAATGTGCGGGGAGAGGAGGTTTGAACCCTGCGGTCAGCTGGGGTGTCTGAAGTGCTCGATTGTTCAGTTTTGTTGTGGTCTGTAATGCCTAGGAGCATGTCTCGGGACTTTTATAACCATCGGATAGAAAACAAAGCTGGTTTTATGACGTTGTGGTCGGCTACCAGCCCGAAGTTCTCGAGTTCAGGTCTCGGTTCTGACACGGGACTGTAGAACGTCCCTGAGTCCACCCAGCTCTTATGAGTACCTGACTCAGTTGGAGGAGAGTAAAGGCGGCTGGGCATTGTGCTGACCACACCATCCCATCAAGAATCGTATGACTCTACTTCATCTCCCCTACGGATCTCTTGGTATGACATCAGTTTGCGACATAATTGTGTGGCCATCCACCTTTCTTTACAACGTACCACAGAGATCTATCACATGACCACGCCACACCATCAAGACGTTCGCTTAATTATAAAATTACATAGCATCAAATGTAATTCAGTTAAACATGAAATATAGATCTAGTTCAGTTAATATGAAATATAGTTCAGTTAAACAATTAAACAAGACTGGCATTTTATTGCGCAATTATTTTGATCCGTCTTATGTTCTGTTTATTTGAAACAATTAGGGCCAATCGACAAGTAGTAATGCAGTGTTAAAAATAAAATTCCAGCAGTTTCTTTCAGGCATTTCTATGGGAGGGAGGGGGTCACGTCCACCACTCCACCTCAGATACCTCGAAGCCCCACCTTTATAATTTTAATCTAATAAAACATGGCGCCCGGGGTAGACCTCCCCCGCCACCACCTCAGCGGTAACACCGGCATTCATTATGGTGCAGCTATTTATAGCTATAAGTTAGTCTGACCCGCCCTTTGGAGGTGGAACATGGAGAGAGAAAAACATTATGGTGGTAAAAAAACGCTAGTAAAATAACGGTTCTGTTACATCAAACTCAGCATTCATATATATATATATATATATATATATATATATATATATATATATATATATATATATATATATATATATATATATATATATGTGTGTGTGTGGGGGGGGGGGACGAGGCGTTGTGTCTGGCTAGCAGACCTAACTACACAGACACCGGAATGTCTGTCGTTTGTCTAGGCTCGAGTTCGAATAGCCCAGAATACTATCAGCAAACAGCTATTGTTTGAATATCTTAGAACCATAGACGGTGGAGCACACGACTAGTAACCCACCAGTCTCGAGTTCGGATTCCGGGCTCAAGTCCGTAGGTCGTCTATGAGTTAATCCAGTTCTGGTGGGTACGTGACTCACGTTAGGTAAAGAAATGGCGGCGGGACATAGTGCTGACCATGCAATCCTTTCAAGTGCCGAGATCACAAAAACAGGTGAATTCTACTTCATCTGCCTCATGGACCACCAGGTTTGAAAGGTTAACTTAAGTTTGTATAGATCAGTATAGTGCCAGCTAACGTCAAGGAATATTAACACACGTCTTTTTCGTTTGTGTGAGGCATCACTGGCTTCATATAGAAGTGTGTCTGTGTGTGTGTGTGAGTGTGTTTGGACTCTGTGCACTTCAATAAAACAAAAATAATCAGGTACTTAACATCTTGCATTGTCGCACTTCTCTTCTGCTGTTTGCTACAAAATAAAATAATTAAGTTTTTTTTAAATTTTGCTTTTCCGTAAAACACGCGTTATTAAAATAATTTAACACACATAGTTGCTTACAGGCTTAAACCCAACCGTGTCAAAAGCCAACTTCTACATTTAATATGCACGTACAGTTTGGTCAACATTATCAAAACGAAACAAAGACTTCTACAAAAATTAATCGTGAAGAATGCTAGGCTTATCTTTGGTATAAAAGTTCTTTGAAAGCCCTAACATCTTCAAGTTCTGTTGACTCCTCCATACCCCGCCCCCACACCCCTAATCATCACAAATCACGGAGTTCCAATATATCACTTTAAAATGTTTCATCTCAATAACAAGCGCATAAACAACGTCAAATTTTGTCACCAAACAGAAATGTGTTGAAAGTCGCCGTTTGTAGTTTGGATTGTCAAAAGAAACCAAAGTCCTTTAAAGGCACGTAAGTCTACACGATGGTAAAACAAGGATAGACCGTTGTTTGCGGTGTTCAATAACAGGTACATGATTTTATAGTCCACATCGATTTAGGTAATAGCGTAGTGATTTGTTTTTCATTGAAGGCATGTAGTCTAACAGGCTGATTAGATACATAACAGCTTATTGTTTTCTTACAGCACTGATTGTATAGCCTACAGTACACAATAAGAAAATGGCGGAGTAATATGTTTTTTCCTTATTTGCAAGTAATCGAACAAGCTATTTGAATATAGAGATAAGCACAACCATTCTTTTTGGGACAACCACCACAGGTTTTAGTGACCGCATCACTAAATATATCGCGGACTGATATGTTGTTCAGCTAAAGCTATAAATAGAAACGTCAGAGCTACCTGGATCTAATTTAAATAACACAGTAACAGAATTTTTTTAGTTTAAAATTTTGAACGCATTTTGATTGGTCTTCGTAGGCGTTAATCCTGCTGACGTCACCGCCTAGCGTAAACATATCGGTGAACTTGTCGTGTGTGATGGTGGCTTCAAATACAGCACCACCTGGGGAGGTGCTAAGTGTCGTCTGGTATATCACAGGCGCCTCGGTTTTATCCCCGTACACCACCGTCCTGTTTATGACATCATGGAAGCTGTCGGTGAATCTCAGAACCCGATCGTTGGATTCCATCTTGACGATGTCTTTAATTTTGTCCAGTTCCAGAACGGCGCAGACGTGAGAGGCTGGCAGCAGCATCGTGTTGATTTTTTCCACAACCGCCTGGCCGATCTTCCGCGCCAGCCTGCTCTCGGCGTTGAGAGTTTTCTGCACCAGACACATGCACCAGTGCGGCAGGATGCTGGCAGAGTCGCACGTCCTCTCTTTAGGCAACTCCCTCAGCAGGCTTATTCCCCTGTCTTTCACGTCAGCTTTGCGGTTTTGGCCATCGAAAAATAAAATGTCTTTCAGCGTTTCGTATATATCGAATGGCGTTGTTAATCGAAATGCGTTCGTTTTTAAATTTTTAACAAGATGTGGGTAATTTTTATGAAAGCTGTCGGGGAATACTAAATACATGAACGGCAATCGTTCTTCGACTTTGCCCATGTATGAGCTTCTCATATCCCCGAAACGGTAGCCGTGATCGCTGTAGAATATGAGGACCGTGTTGTTTAAATGGCCCTCTTCTTTAAATTTTTTCAGAAACTGCACATAAGCGTAGTCAGCCGACCCGGCTAAATTGAGGCTGTCGTGCGTCAGCCTCGTTATGAAAGTAAATCCAAAATGAGGCTTGTCTTTGAAAACCCTCGAGAAGTCGGTGACGTAGTCCAGCACCATGGTGGTCTCGAGTCTGTCCACGATGCAGTGGTGGTTGTTGTTCCACAGACTCCGCTGTCTTTCCATGGCGAGGGAGAGCGGGCGGTTGTAGTAGTCCGCTGGCGGCTCGTGGAAACCTTCTTTATCGTAAACAAAGATGGCGATCTTCGGCGCGTCCTCTGCGTACAGCGTACGATACCCCGCGTTGGAGAAGTTCTTCCAGAAGAAAGGGTACTCGTCAAACGGATGGTGAACCATCGTTTCGTTCCAGCCAATCTCGTGGGCGAACTTCCCCATCATCATCGGAACGATGTTGACAAACGTATTGTCGGCTACTTTGTTGTACCCAGCCATTTCAAACGCTCGGAGTTCTTGATGCAAGAACGCCCGCGTTTGAGGCATCTGGCGGATGAAGTTCAGCCTCGACACGGAGTCAACGCCAATCATGTGAACATTGTAAACCTCTTTCGGTGCGTGGGTCTTCTTGTGTTTCTCGAACTTGTAACTGCATCTCCTCTCGACTGACTCCTTCGGTGCGACCGTCGCGTGAAAGTTGGTCGATATTTTCCCGTCGCTCTGGCTAAAGCAGTAAAGTCTGAAGAATTCATCCTGAGGAGGTACGAGGATGTCATGGTCGAATTCTTTACTGGCGTCGCCATACACGAAGAGGAAATCTGAGTTTTGGATACGGAGGATGGGCTGGTAGATGCAGTACTTGAAGTCGCCTTGAAGGTCCTGTTCAATTCTGGTTCGGTTTAACATCAGCGCTGATCCGTGCGTGTAGGTGATGGATTTCTTGCCGGGGCAGATCATCTCTCCGTGCCGGCTGAGCCGGTTCATGATGGACGGGCTGAAGGGGTCAATGTCCGGGATCTTGCAGTACGGGGTGTCCAGCAAGAACCCGCGCTGGGGCGTCAGCAGGTACGTGGCGTTGCTGGAGCGGTCAGGGTAGCCCAGGGAGGGGACGTAATCGTGCTGGTAGACGAGGAAAGGTTTGGTCCAGCTGATCAGGAGGAGAAACACGCCTGACGTCATGAAGAGGAGGATCAGTAGAATCCTGGAGACTTTTCTGGGTTTCATTGTTGCGCTTAGGTCAGCCGTTACAGTGTCGTTCTAATATGCCAGGTAATAATGACAGGAAATATGATGGTAGTTCCAATTTGCCAGGTAATCTAGTAGTCGCCAATGACAGGAAATACGTTGGTAGTTCTAATATCCAAGGTAATCGGTTTGAAGTTCCTTTATGCTATGAAATGGGTTGTTTGTTCCATCGTGTCAGACAATCTGTTGATAAAATCAACAAAAATTAGATGTAATTCTTATATAAAATGGTTATTTTAACAGCTCTCTTAAAAGTACAATATACACGAATGATTATAGTTAAGAAAAAAAGCCTATTTATTTGCCGATAAAAGAAAACGTATTTTATATTGACATTACTTATAAACACTGGGTGTGAATACGCACTTAGCTAAGGGGGAATAGAAAACACCGCATTCACTAGCGGTCGCCTTTACAATGTTTTTATAAGAGGCACTGGGATCAAAGAAGGGGAAGGGGCGGGGACGGGGTTACTTTATCCTGTGTATTTTCCGGTACCAGAAATAATCTTGTGTATGCATATAGCCCACATGTTGTAGGCAGTTATAGGTGCCTCGGCGATATCGCTGTAGCATACATGCACCGTCTTAAAACAAAAATTGTGCAGAATTGCATGTTTGTTTCAGCTATCGTGGTCAAGATTTCCACATCTAAGATGAAATATTATTAACGACAGAGTAGGGCAGTGCTATGGTTGCTATGGTACAGAGAGGCTGAATCAGATAGCACCCGGGGGTGGGGGAAGAGGAATGACCCAAACCAGAGTACATACACAGTTGTTTTAAAACAAACAAATATAACAGAGGAGTAAATTATCGGAGACTTGTGTCTTAATGCAGACACATCTACAGCATGCCCGGGTGTAGGAGTAAAGCGACCAGCTATTTTAACACCAACTTATGTAATGTTATTATGTTGAAATTATGTGTATATATTTTATATTCAAATCAAACTCAGCATTAACTTACAAATACCGATTTATACTGTACATGTATTTTATTTTCTAACGGCAAACCTAACACCACCTAACATATGTCTACTCATTTTGTGTATTTTATGTTCTAACCACTACCTCAACACCAAATAACATATGCCTACACATACTGTAGCTATTTTCTGTTCTTAGCTCTAACTCAACACCAACTAACATATGCCTACACATACTGTAGGTATTTTATGTTCTAACCACTACCTCAACACCAAATAACATATGCCTACACATACTGTAACTATTTTATGCACTTAGCTCTAACTCAACACCAACTAACATATGTCCAGAGCAGAGTTTCTTCGAGGCATTTCTCCGGGGGGGGGGGGGGGGGGGGGGGAAGAAACACTGCATTTGACTACACATACTGTAATTTTGTTATGCTCTAACCACTAACTCAACACTAACTAACATATGCCTTTACATACTGTAACTAATGTATGTTCTTAGCTCTAACTCAACACCAACTAACATATGCCTACACATACTGTAACTAATGTATGTTCTTAGCTTTAACTCAACACCAACTAACATATGCCTATACATACTGTAACCAATGTATGTTCTTAGCTCCCATTCAACAAAGGTTAGTCGAGGCCAGTCTACGAGCATCTGTGGCCGACGGATCCCATCTTGACGTATGATGGCGGTGTTTATATGTCATTTCCCATCTGTGAATACACTTAACGGGGAAGTTAGCGGTTATTTACGGTGTTCGCAGCGTTTTTCGGGAAGCGGGAATTTACACCTCGGTAAAAACAGTTGGTTCATCTACATGATGTATAGTTGTGTACCGGTTGGGGGCAGTGGCGGAACTAGAAATCAAAGGCTCCCCCGCAAAGAAAAATCTAGGGCCCCCTATATATATATATATATATATATATATATATATATATATATATATATATATATATATATATATATATATATATATATATATATATATATATATATATATATATATATATATATATATATATATATATATATATATATATATATATATATATATATGATCTATATCCTAACTCAGGGGTCGGCAACCTGCGGCTCGCGAGCCGCATGCGGCTCTTTTGATGTCAAGATGCGGCTCTTCAGCTCCATGCACAAATATTTATAATTTTTTTTATTTCCGAAAATTAAAAATATTGTTCTACAACATTCGGTGATAAATGATATAATAATAAATATAAACAATAAACACTCGCTATTAAATTAGAATATTTATTTACTCCCTATTTCAATGTACTTTCTATTATATATATATATATATATATATATATATATATATATATATATATATATATATATATATATATATATATATTATCCTAATAAAATATCATAATTAATATTGAAATATAAAATGTGTGTGGCTCTTTAAAACTGGGAAATTTTGTAAATTGCAACTTTTGGCTCTTCCGTCTCAAAAGGTTGCCGACCCCTGTCCTAACTGAGTAATTTAGTCTACTTCAGGGGTCTCCAAACTTTTCAGTCCGAGGGCCGCATTAACTATCAAATTTCAGTTCGGGGGCCAGTTTTTTGCAGGCTTGTCTTTGATTTTTCTGGGCAAAGTTCCTCAGCCATCACCGACAAACGATTTTTCCTTGGACAAAAAGATCTCCGCGGGCCGGATGAGGGTACTTCGCGGGCCGGCCCGCGGGCCGTAGTTTGGAGACCCCTGGTCTACTTCGTTGCAATATATAACCATTCTGAGAGAACAAAACAGAAAAAAATTTAGTCCAAACTCACTCTGATTGGGGAGCAGTGTATTCAACACGCTGGTCAAAAATATATAAAGACGTTAGCTTGATTCGTGAATGGTTTCTCGCGTTATGTTTATTTTTTTCCTTTTTGGCTTTTATAATATCAATTTTGAAAACATTGATTTTTATAGCTATACTATTGAATAGTACGTCTTATTTAAGTAACAATTCAGAGAATCAATTGCTTTTTAATATACATAGTACAAAACTATTTAAATGAGCTTCGTGGGCATCCCTATTTTAAAGAAGGGCAGTAAGTCATGGAAGTAGTGTGAATGTTTACCTACCTTTCAAACTATAGCTCTTGTAGATTTTAAAATATTTTTCTACGCAACAATCTCTGCTATAGTAGACCTGTTTTTTTTTTTTTACAAAACCACTTTCAAGATGCATGAAAACACAATTTTTGAAAAAAAAATGCATTGTTTTTTGGTCGGAACTGGGCCCCTAAACGTCCTGGGCCCCCCCCCCCCCCCCGCATTGCGGGGTCTGGCGGTATGGTAGTTCCGCCCCTGGTTGGGGGTCATTACGCGTACGAGAGGCGGATAGTGTAAGCAAGTTGAAATATTTATCGAAACTATAATCTTGTAGAAATTGATTAAAAGTGTGTGTTTTGTATAGAATTTGAGTTTTGATTATTTTGAAAAAAATCTATATAGGTCCTATATAAAAACATTTTATTAGAAAAAAAATATAATGAAAATACAAGACAAAGTTATATAGGTGTTATTTGTATCCAAGGACGACCCAGTTTCAAAAAGATTATTTTTCCATGGTGAGGAATTGGATTGTGTGCCAATTCTGAAACGTGAACGTGTGGATAGTTACTTAATTTGTCTGGATTGTGTGTGATGTCTCTTATCAAAACAACACTGTCTAGTTAGAAATTTGAAAGTTTAGTTCTAAACATTCTGGCCCTTATGTTGAACAACTTGATAACAACTTCAATCAAATATCTGATCAATATCTGATCAAATGTCTGATTAAATATATGATCGAATATGATCAAATACATGATCAAATATCTCATCAAATAATTCACCAAATACCTCAACAATTATCTTCCAAAATATCTCACCATATTTATTATATCTCGCCCAAAATCTTATAAAATCTTATTAAATAAATTAACAAATACCTCGCCATTTGCCTCGCCAAATATCTTACCACTTATCTCAGTAATAATCTCACCAATTACCTCATTAAATAATTATAGTAATTATCAAATGCCTCAAAATTATCTTACTAAATATCTAAATTTACTAAATATCTCACCATATTTACTTCATCCCACATACTATCTTATCCAATATCTTATTAAATACATCATCAAATATCGACCTACGTTTCTCACCATTTATCTCACCACATATTTCACCAATTATCTCACCCAAGTGTTTCAAGAAGTCTCACCAATGTTCTCTTTAAACTTGCTCTTCATTCTTCAATTTTACCTGCCTATAAACATTTACTCGTTTCATCAAATTTAACTCTACGGCTACCCGAATATAAATCACTCTCTACAGCTACCCAAATATAAACTCTCCCTCTACAACTACGGGAATATAAACTCTCCCTCTACAACTACGGGAATATAAACTCTCCCTCTACAACTACGGGAATATAAACTCTCCCTCTACAGCTACGGGAATATAAACTCCCAACACAGCTACGGGAATATAAACTCTTCCACTACAGCTACCCGAATATAAATCACCCACCACAGCTACCCGAATATAAATCACGCTCCAAACTACAGCTGCATGCTGGCATCTCAAAACGTCCGAGTTCTATTAATAACCCCCCCCCCCTCCCCACCACCAACACCCTACGGCAAGTCGGATGCATAGTTAGGGCATGTACGCACGGAGCCCTCGCCAATATGGCGGCCATCTGTTTGTCTCGCGCTCAGGCTCCAGCGGGCGCCGCATCAAAAGGTCGCGCATGTCATTACAGGTAGTGTTGTCTGCGGTACACGGGCGCCTTCCGTAACCGGTTCTCATCCGCTTGTTACTCTCACCTCATCATCATTTCAATACTCACACCTGCGTGCCTGCCTCGTACCTGCGGCGTCAGTTGTACACAATACACGGTGATAGTTTATTTAGCAAAACATTTACGAAGAGCCTACTTAAGTAAAATCACATACTAAATGTAAATTAGGTTAAGAAAATATAATGGTTATTGGGGAAAAAAATTGAATTAAAGAAAAGGAAACTCCCGTGCTAATGAGTAATGCCTGGTTATTAGAAAGATATGCTCAATATTCCTGTCGTCTCACGAGGAAGGCGTTACCAGAGTTAACCCCCCCCACTGGGGCAGCACGCATTCTTGCGTCAAGAATAGTTTGCGCAACGCGCAACACTGAAGCGAGTAAATTGGATGTGTCTGGCCCACTTACAGCAAACACCCCCCGTACCTTAACGCCA